GTTATTTACCCAATATGTACAACTTTCTCAAAGGGTTTGATACGGTCTTATCATTGAACTATGACTTATTGGTTTACTGGACAATGACATATGGGTTTGGTATCCGGGATTACCACAAATTTAAAGATTGTTTTACCCTTGGAGGGGGGGATGTGAATGGATTCGACGATGACTGGCAAAAATATCGAAATCTTTTGGGAGAATGTACTAACACTCTTGTATTCTATCCTCATGGAAACCTGGCACTGTGTCGTAATCGACGGGAACAGGAGTTAAAGATAGTCAGAGACAGGAATGCAGGTTTGTTGGAAGCTATTCTTGGCGCATGGGAAACTGAAACAGTTGTGCCGTTATTTGTGAGCGAGGGTAGGGAAGAACAAAAAGTTTCCTCAATTCAGAACAGCTACTACCTGTCAACGGTATATCGGGAAGTGTTGAAATCACCGCGAACCAAATTGACAATTTTTGGTTGGGGGCTTGGAGAACATGATTTGCACTTGTTAAGGAGAATGCGAGGAAGTGGGATTCAGAGAGTAGCTGTATCTGTTTTTCGTGGTGATCAGGCTTACTGCAATCGTGTGTGTCAGACTATTCAGGGTGTACTTGGGACAGTCCAGGTGGATTTTTTTGATAGCGAAAGCCCCTGTTGTTGGATTCACGGGGTTCCATTCGAATAAGTGTCTGAAAGAATATCAGTAACTTTGTCTCAAAGTTTAGATTCAGAGAAATGAGATCCGATGAGTGGATTTAGTATCATCTGACGTGATGTGCGGTTCTTCGCCGTTTACGGTGGAGAACCGTGGACTTATCCATCTTCATCACCTCTTCATGTCACATCAGTTGTTTCGTTTATTGCGTTTTTCGTTTGTTTCGATTATTGTTTAGTGACTGTCCTTATCAGGACTGAAATTCAAGATCGAAACCAACCCTTTAAACTGGATACTGAAAATGACGAACTCAATTCCTGACCGTCTGAGCCTTCCAGCTCAGGGAGAGATTGAGGCAGCTGTACGTGGACAAAGGGAGCTTGCTGCCTACCTCTCCACTAAAATGGAAACACAGAAAATTTCGATTCAGGATGCAGATAACAATACTCACCAGATTGAGCTCCCAACGTCTTCATTAACGTTACTTATGTCTGTCTTAGGTGAACTGGCTCAGGGAAATGCTGTTCAGGTCGTTCCTGTACATGCTGAATTAACAACGCAGGAAGCCGCCAATATTCTGAATGTTTCGCGCCCTCATATGGTGAAACTTCTGGAAGACGGGAAGCTACCTTTTCACAAAACAGGTCGCCATCGCCGCGTACTTTTCGCTGATTTGATGAGATATAAAGAACAGCGGGATAATGAAAGCAACAAAGCAATGCAGGAACTGGCAGACCATAGCCAGGAGCTTGGATTTTACTGATGACGCACTCACCCTATCCTGTGGTTCTGGATGCCTGTGTTCTTTACCCATCGTTACTACGGGATTTATTGATATATCTTGGGAAAACCGGGCTGTATCAGCCTAAATGGTCGGCCCTCATTGAGGGCGAATGGCAGCGAAATTTGCTTGAGGACAGGCCGGACTTAAAACCCGAACAAATCAAACGAACCGGGGAACTGATGAATCAGGCCTTACCAGATGCAATGGTGACAGGCTTCGAATCTCTTATTGCTGGCATTGAACTTCCTGATGTTGATGATCGACATGTTGTGGCC